GTCTCAAAAAGGACAAAAAAATAAAATAAAATAAAAATAAAAAATAAAAGATATTGTAGAGATGCTAGATTCTGTCTTCTTCTGAAGAGTGTTGAGCTTTGTTCTAACAGGCAGTCAAATTGCTGGCTGCTTACATCAGTCATGTTGAGCCTTGGTCATATAAGTTTTGTTTGGGCAGGTCCATATCAGTTGTGTCTTCAGTACTAGGGGGTATTTCTGACTCCTGGATGTGGTCCTTACTTCTAAATTGTGGCCCATCTAGGCTTTCAGTAGAATACCTGAAGTGTTTACCAAGCTCCTTTAATTTGTAGACTTAAAATTAGTGTCTGTCCTTCTCCCCAGGGTGGCACCTTAAAAACTTGTTTAGCTCCTCCCAATTTCCATTTTCCCCCTGCTGGGATCTTTGTATTCCCTCTGTACATGTGCAGTTTGGCAGGCAATCATGGAGTTGACGGGAGTGTGTTTGCAGATTTTGGACGCCCTCCTTTCTGGAATTTCCTCCCTCAATTTCTAGCCAATCGGTGTGTCCCAATCTCCAATTGACTTCTTAACCCAATAAGACTATTATGTCCTTTCTGAACTCTGTCTTCTTTGTGCCATAATTGACTGGGGAGTACCCTCAAGGGAGAGGCCAGATAAATGTGCATTACACCTCATAGGTTCCCTTCCCTCAAGAGTCTCATTCCCTCCAGTGTCTGCCTGCCCCTGGCTGCACTCCAGTGACTTGAAAGAGTTACAGTTGTTGTCAGCAGAGGTAAGTTTGACATAAGTTACTCTGCCGTTACTGGGAGCTGGAACTGTATGTATCTATAATTTTGTATTGTACTTTTTTTCACTTGACATTTTGATGTAAGAATTTTCCAGGTTATTAAAAATTTATTATAAACATATTTAGTGACTTTAACCTTTCCATTTTGTGAGTGAATATGCCATAGTTTACTTGGATATTTTCCTGTTTTTGAAATCAAATGTTTCAATATTATAAACAGTGTGGACTCTGGATGTTAGGAAGGGAATAAGAAATGTGTACTTTGAGGGTCTGGACAGATTTCTTGTTGCACAAATTTACTTAATCATTTTTATTTTAGGTGAGGTATGATGGTAAAATCTTTAGTTTCTTTGATGATTATGTTTACTCTTTTAAGTGTGCCTATATCCTGTTTCAGTCAAAGTTTTTATTATCGTTGCTCTTGTTTTTTTTTTCCTTCAGAAAAGAGAAAATATTCGTTCCTTGACTATGTCTGGCCATGTTGGTTTTGAGAGTTTACCTGATCAGCTGGTCAATAGATCCATTCAGCAAGGTTTCTTCTTTAATATTCTCTGTGTGGGTAAGTGCCACTTACTCTTCCTCTGAATCGCTTCTTGGTATTTCTTGGGTTCACTGCATTCTGGTCATATGCAGTATGGTGCTCATAGTATCAATTTTTATCTGTTATTTAAATTCTATTAATTCCGTCCTTCTTAGCTTTAAACTTTTTGTTTGTTCCGTAAACATTTTAGTACTCTCTTCAGAGTTCTCAGGTACTCATTTCTGTGCTCTTTCATCTTAGCTTTAAACTTTTTGTTTGTTCCGTAAACATTTTAGTACTCTCTTCAGAGTTCTCAGGAACTTAGCATACGTACTCATTTCTGTGCTCTTTCAAGAACACCAGCCTTTGAAATATTTGGGATCCTTGAAACCACTCTTGGGTTTACAATTGTATTTCTCCTCAACCTTCCTAGACACCTATGAAGATGTATCTTTTTTTCTTTCAGGGGAGACTGGAATTGGAAAATCGACACTGATCGACACATTGTTTAATACTAATTTTCAAGACCATGAATCCTCACATTTTTACCCACATGTTAGACTTAAAGCTCAGACATATGAACTCCAGGAAAGTAATGTTCGATTGAAATTGACTGTTGTGAGTACAGTGGGATTTGGTGACCAAATAAATAAAGAAGAGAGGTATGTATTTTCTTATAATAAAACACATTTTCTTATTTCAAGATGTTTACCTTTTGCCCCATGAGCTGTGATTTGATTTTCTACTATTATTTCAGATTACATATTCTGTATCAAGTTTAAACTATGAGAAGGGGAAATAGGTGGGGGAAAGCGATAACTTTTTGTTCTTGCTTCCTTTTTGAAATGTATATATTTTCATTTTATAAGTAATTTTCTAGAGGGAAAATATTTTTGCACAAACTGATTTTATGTGATGAATGTTAGAGTATAGCCTTTTTAGCACTGTGTTCTGCCTTAAATATGAAGAAATGACTTGTGTGGACCTTCTAGGAGTAGATTGGTGGCAGGGGCCACGGCTGTGACACTTGCTTTAAATGTTATTAATACTTGTAAGATGGATATCAACTTAGAACTGATTAGTGGATATAAATGAAAATATTTTTAAATGAATTTAAACATAGGGTATTATGGAATAAAACCCACAATATGTATGACTTTATATGTAAGTTTATTCCTAATATAAATTATAACATGCTTTTTCCTGTTTATTTGTTGGATTGTTTGTTTTCTACCATTTACCAAAGTAATACATAAATATGTTTCTCTGAAAATATCAAATAGTACAGATCAATTAGAACACACGTTAGCCATCCGTAGAGCCCAGTCTCATTTCTTTCCCCAAAGAAGTTGTTGCTATGAATTAGGTGTTTTCCCAGACCTTTTTTTCAGGTTTTTTATTTCTTTCTTTAAAATAAGGTTTATCAATGTATACTTTACACAAAATAAATTTCACCAACTTTAAGTGTACAATTCAAAATGAATTTTGACAAGTGTGTAGTTTTGTAACCAACACCATGTCTCTAATATAGGAAATGGCCATGGTCTTGGGTCCTTTGCTCTCGTGCATGTGCAGATCAGCACTCAGCCTAAGTTTGAGGGGACCTTCTCCAGATCCGCCTTATGTCCTGGCTCTGCTGCTCCCTTTTCTCCTGTGTTCTGTCCCACAGATTCCAATCACTTTGGCCTCCCTCAATTACTGTCTCAGTCTACTCAATTTAGAGAGCTCACCAGACTCTGTGCTCTCTCTGCACTGTGCCCAGGAGTCTGGTCTCCAGATAAGGAGCTAGGAAATCAGAGGGCTCCCCTCACTTCTTTCCCTCCTCAGTGATCACAGTTTTATGCCACCTCTTTTCCAGTGTCTGAAAACCTTTTTCATTGATTTGTCCAGTTTTCTAGTTGTTTATGGTGGAAAGGTAGATCCAATCCCACTTATTCCGTCATGGCAGGAGA